TGCACTGTGTTCAACAGGTCGTAACAGAAACTAGGGGTGGACTCATGTGAGCATGGTGCTAAATCTTCCATAGAACGGGAAATTCCTTAGTTAACTGAGCTACTGTTAGATTCTAAAGAAAAAGTGATAGTGGAACCACGGTTCCGGAGAATTTGACGTAAATACGTCTATACGGAAAGAAAGTTTATATATTAGCTTTAATTACAACAATATTAACAACAATGCCGAGTAAACAGATGACGTTTCCTAGGTAACAATAATGCCGAGTAAACAGATGACGTTTCCTAGGTAACAATAATGCCGAGTAAACAGATGACGTTTCCTAGGTAACAATAATGCCGAGTAAACAGATGACGTTTCCTAGGTAACAATAATGCCGAGTAAACAGATGACGTTTCCTAGGTAACAACAATGCTGAGTAAACAGATTAGGTAACAATGATGTTAGACTTTTTGTTTCCCTTTTTCGTAACACATTTTTGCCGAATGACCCTTCCTTATAGACGTATTTACGTCAAAAAATGGTTTTATGGATGTCTTTAGTTAAGAGTAATTTTTTTAAGTAAATATTAGGGTCAGATTGAATGGAAATTTCAGTTCAAATATTCTGAAGTTCTATCTTCACAGTTAACCGCATTGCAGGAAAATTAACATTATTTGTGAAAACTTGACAATTGTCGAATGCCCATTTATGCGAGCCAGAAAAATATTAATTTGAACAAACCCATTATCGTAATCCCGTACAATAACAACGCGAAGAACCTGGTGGTAGCAATTTTCATTTCTCACAACTGTCATGGAAGTGCATAACAAGTTTTGGGGAGAAAAACAATGGCTTAAAAGATGAGAGGACAAAAGAGGATAAGAAGAAAGAGACATGAAACGGAAACTCAGGAGACGCTTTAGGAGAAGAAAGACGAATAAACAGGATACGAAAGAAGGAAAAATGGGGACAAGAAATGGAAAAGCATAATAAGGCGGTGGTGATTCAACGAGAAGCAAAGCATAAGGAACAGAAGGAAAATGATACATAGGAGAAAGCATAAGAGAAACAGCAGGTGAACGAGGTGAAAGCAAATGGGCTGGAAGGGAGGAGGAGAATAAAGAACAAATGACTCAACGGTTAGAATGATGTACAAGACGGAGACAACGGAAGACGGATGGAAAAGGTGACGGGAGGAATTGTATTTATTTATAGTTTAACGACGTGGCGAGTTTCCCTTTGTTTCGATTTTGTCTAACAGTCAATCGATCCTTCTCCTAGTTGTCTTTTTCCTACCGGATGGTAATTTAAGATTCTTTTGGGGGTTTATGATCTTAATTCGGTGTAAGTAAGAAGATTAAGTTTTGTGTCCTTCTGAAATATCTTAATTTATTTTGTGGTCGATAAGAGTGCGTCCTACAGTTCACCTCTGCATCTTGTAGTAAATTTCTATTGCGCTAAAGTGTCTGTCACTGTCATTGGTATGTATTGTCTATACACCTGGATGGATTTAGGCCTGTTATATAACCAGACAATGGAAACTGGTTGAAGATTTCTCACAGAAAGCATTAACGAAGTCAAACACAGGGAAACTCCATCACGGAAGTAGAAATATAAACATACAGAACTGATCAATCTTGAGTCGACACTCTTGCCCACTTCGACCGTTTTCAGAAGCAAGAAAATGAAGATATAGACGAAAATGAGCAAAGAGTATAAGCAAGAGGAAGAGAATAAAGGTGTTCATAAACACGTGTCAAGAGAACACAATTAGAAGCAGTTTATATAACAGCTGCTTTTCATACAGTTGGGGTGCAAAGAATTTAATACGAGTAAACATTCTTGTATTGAATTCGTGCAGTGCCCTACAACATCAGACAATAGTTATTTGCTTACCAAGATCCGTGAGATAGAACCACATAGGCGGGGTTTTACAAGCTTATTTCTCTCAATTCACACTTCGCCCTTTCATGAAAGCTCAAACTAACATCGATTTTTTGCTATAGCAACAACGTAATCATCAATCCTACAACCTCATAATTGTGTACTAATGCGCATGAGCTATTTCACCCTAAATATCTCGGGAAGTTTGTTTTCTGTACGCCGCCCTCCTCACTTCTTTATCTTCCCCCCCTCCCCACATCTTTTCTTCTTATTGTCTTACATTCCAATATCGATTCAATTACGCCGTCACAACTGGGTCATGTTATAAATTCACCAGGTCATGTATTAGTATTCTAAATATCCTACGTATTTCGCTCCCTGATGGCTAATATATCATACAGACGTTGCATTTCAAATCAAATATTTCCTTGGTTTGCGTTCGTAAGTCAATTCGGAAGTGCGAGTCATTTGTCATTTCTAACACATCACGATTTCAGCGTTCTTCATTTTTTGTTATATAACGTAGCATTCAAAACATTGCAGTAAGATGACGCATTAAGGTCAATAACAGAACATGTTAAGTAAATGCAATTAAGATACTTTAAACAAACGCGGAAAAGGTCACGCAGTCTCAAGTACGCACTGTTTTAAAACGCCCGAGAACATGAAACGGGGATTTGAATTCCGCTGTGGTCATCGATGAAGGCCTACGTCCACGTTTCTCAGGATAATTTTAACTCTTCACCAAATATCACCGCGGAAGAGGGAGTAACGTGGATGGGGCATGAAAAATGCATGGAAAATTTTGTCTTATATCATAACGAAAAGAAGTAACTTGGTAGACCAAGTCATAGTTGGAAGTAAGATATTAAAATCAGTCTGAAATAAACAGACTTCAAGGACGTAAACTTGATTAATCTGGCCTATGATCGCATCCAGTGGCGATCTTTCATGGACACAAAAATTAGCCTTCGGGGCCCATAATAGGTAGGGAAATTCTTCACCGTTTCGGGCAGTAAGTAGTTAATTCATTTAAAACAGTGATGTATGTACAGGAATTTTATCGCCTTAGCGTTGAATGGAATGTGACGATCGTCACGAATGGTGACTGGACAAGAAATTGAAATAATACTATCGTGACCTATTAGAAGGTATCATCCCCGCATAAGCGACTGCCCTCATCGGCATGTATCGTTAACAATTTTTATCCTACCTAGCAGAAAGACATTATTTCGTTTTAAACATTTATCTTACCTTACAAATTCAGTTTACAAGATGTTTCAACTGTTAGCCTAAAATGTAGAGACATCGTGACATTCTTTTTTACTTATGTAACGTCTCACACCAAATATATACATAAACAAAAGGTGTCGGCTTCAGTAGAGTGTCTCATATCAATAACTATAAATTATATTTCGTTTCGTTTTTCGATGCATTCAATTTAAAGTTCTAAAATTCGCCTATCATATGTATCAAGTCTGACTGCGAACATGTAACTCAATAACCGCTAAACAGAAATTAAATTAATCTTTTTTCAGAATTTTTTTTTATTTTTTAACGACTCGTGTTAATTATGGTTAAAACTGGGCAAAAATAACAATCACTTCTGCGAATAAAATGGGAAGTAACTAAATATAAAAATCCCACGTGCGAAATTCACGTGTTATCTTCGTAAACTGAGAAATCCCAGCCAACAGCGCAACAATGTGGGGGAATCCTCTCAGGTGACGCCATCACCTAAGCACACAAGCACCAAATAATCCGCCCACTCAAAGCCATTGACTCCAGACAATGATGTCACAAGCATCATTCGTAAAGATCAAAGTTTAGTCTCGTCTTTGGTTACTTAATATCATCATAAACATTGCACAGAAATGCAGAGATAATTACGTCCACTCGAGAAGTGACTGGATGCAATACTGCATGGCGGACATACCTGAGAACACTATGAGCATGATGGAAACGTCTATAAGCCATTAGAATAATTAAAAGGAAGCTAACAAAAATAATCTAGTTTCAGAAGATGGATGACTTCTAATGAAACTCCGCAGGGAGACTCGTTACCTTTTGCTTTAATGATTACATCTAAGGTCACTGGAATCATTTACGTGGTAATCTTTGTTTTGTTTTTGGTTGTTCTTTTTTTTCTCTTTCATCATGTTCTTTTTACATGTTGTTGTTCACTGTGTAACATGTCTGCATTTTTGAGAGTAGGGAGGTAATCTTATTCGTTCTTAATATGAGAGAGCCTAAATGTACATTAAAAACAACATATTCTGAAGATTTCTGTCTTCTGGGCTGTTGCGCTGTGTAGTCTGATCGATGTTTACCGACGTTTCTGAGGTCACACTGCCTCCGTAAACATCGACCAGACTACACAACGCATATGCCCAGAAGACAGAAATCTTCATACTCACCGTTGTGGAAACCTCAAATTTGATTCAAAATAAGAATTACTGCTCGTAAAATTACCAACTAGTCGGTACGTTTGTTTAATTGGCTAAGTAAATAAATGGAGTTTCCAGGTGTACAGTTTAAAACACGGTGATTAAGAATTCGAGTTTGCAGTGAGCACCTTCAATGAAAATATATTTTTTTCTGTTATCTTCATTCTTCTGTCTGATGAATGAGTAATCTATATATACTTACGTCACTGATACTTCAGATAGAGGATAGATCAGTCCAGTATGGCGGGAAAACGGCGCGTATATATAATTTGGAAAAAGAATGTTGTGACCTATTGTAAGCAAAATAGCAGAAATCGTTGGAGAAAATGAGAAATACTATGAAAAACTCAATCTGGATGGCCTGTGACAATACCTAAACTAGAACTAGCCTTCTGAATACAAATCAAAAGATTTATTATTGCACTAAGCCGTTCGAAATCATCTTTGGGATATTCGTCATAAAGGTTAGATTTGTATCAATACACGTTTGACATTCTTACAACTTTTACGCATATATTGGCAACGATGAGATTATATTATCTATCTGGAAAATTTAAATTAGAAAAAGCAATGCTAGAAACTAATTATTACATCAGAAAATATTGACGAGTTTCTGCATTCGTCGCTGATTTCTTGCAACCTGTTACGCCACAGACAGAGGTAGGCGACAGAGAAAATCGTACTCACCGCCCAGATGCCCGTTCTCGTAGCCAGGGTACTCGCCGTTGTCCAGCCGATGCTTCTTCAGCTGGTGGTGATGCTGGGCGAGGTGGGTAGCGGCAATCGACAGACCCACTGTTGCCCTCTTCGGCGGTCGACCGGGCCTGGAGCTGCGGAGTAGCAGAGAGTTACTGTCGTTAGAGGAACGCGTGTTAGTAGACGGGAAGAGGAACGAGGAGACTGTCGTACCCAGAAAACAAGTACAGGGGTCAGGGCACACAAACCACTTGTTAATATCAGCGGTTGCTTCACAGAAGGACGTGTTACACAAATGACGACAAATCCTTAGATATCTGCAAAGTAAAGTGAAGTTAAAATAAAATTATAACTATAACAAATGTTTCATACATTATACACCAAAATAATTTTACTGTTCATTGTGTATTAAAATGTTATTGGGTGTCAGAAGTTAGTCTATAAAGCAGATAGGATAACTGGGAGAAAAAACGCGAAACAAGTAATGGGATGACGTTAGTACAACTGTGAAGTAAATTAAAGTACATATCTTCTTCTTCTTCTTCTTTATTACGCCGTCTCCTTTACAGGAGGTTGGCGACATATTATGAACAGGATCCTTCCATCCTTTTCTCGGACTGGGACCTGTTCGTATATGTTTTTTAGGCAGGTGATACAGAATTGGTTTGCTATTGCCTTCTTCTGTGTGTAATTGTTGGGATGCCACGGAGAAACCTGGAAAGCCCCGGAGGAAAACTCCGTGTTGCCTAGATCACGGTCTTGCCCGACAAGTTATAAATTCGGGCACCGCCGGGAATCGAACCCGGGACCCCAGGATTACAAGGCCAGCCTTCTAATCGCTAGACCACCGAGGCGGTACATATACAAATATAAAAATAAGCATACAAACAAAACTGTTTACACTATAAATGACACTAGTGCCAAAACGCGTTTCGACCTCAAGATGTCATCATCAGTGGCAAAAGAGGAATTAATTCATATAATATGGTTTTAAACAGATCATAAGAGTGAGTTCTTTACAAAACCATATTATGTAACACTTCACTGGATGTTGGTTTCACTGGAGTTCGTGTATTGTACTCTGCAGATACTGATATTATAACAGTTACTCTGGTCGTTCATTTACCTGGGCGTAATACCACTCTTATCCCCAGTGTCATAAGTTCGTTTGAGTTAATCTTCACCCTTAAAGACACATATAAAAGCCAAATACAAAACAGAGGGTTGGCGGAAATGAATGGTATAAACTTCGCAGCTATTTCTTATATTAGAGCTATAAAGAAGAAGATGACAGAGGGACACTCCACAGCGAATAAAACAGTGTCCATTGCATCGCTTTACTGCGAGATAAGACCCGGGAGAGGATTGGACGCAAACTATTACCACTACGACGCTGAAATGAATACAGGGGTGTGAGGACAACTGCCCCCACTTGGCTCAATGTCTGTGTTTACCAGAATCAAGTGTGACAGAACAGAATGCCATAAAATTGTAGCTTCAGACATTGAAATTCACGGCTTCACCACTTTATTACCACAATGGGAGCTCGGGTTTGAAACCCACTCTAGGAATGGATGTGTGAGCACATTTACATGGGGTTTGGTGTTATCCTGTGGCGGCAGATACGATGCGATACTCTGATGCAGTATCTCATAAGTTAATCTAGTCTCATTAAGGTGTTACAGAATGCATGCGTAATGGAAGCCGAAACGCATGCAGGACGCCAGAACCAAGAAGAAGAATTAGTCGGTAATCTATACTGTCCAAATTAAATTAGACTAACGAATTTCTGTAAGGATTCCGTACAGAATATGAAGGTATCAAATTCTAATCTTCTAAAGCACATGTAAATAACATTTAAAAATTAACTTATTTTCTCACAGAAAATACAATGGGTTTCCACTACAAAAATTAACTGGTTGCTAATATTTATTTAAATAATCGCTGTTTAGTTTTAGACACACGTAACCCCTATAAGAAAACTGTGGACAAAAACGGACTTAAGGAATGTTAAAGCAAGTGATACATGTAGTTATGACTGAGATCTAATTGACTAACCTAACCTATCAGAATCTGTGTAATAACAGATACTGACACTGCTGGTCAAACACAAATGCTTTTTCTTGCACTGAATTCTCACTATACTCCGATTTTAACCCTTCGAAGTCGAAGACCGTCTAAATGTTAAGGAATTTGTCCGTTCCGGTAAGAAAACAGAACACTCCATCGTTACAAGGATCAATTGGTTAACATTGTTAAACACACGATCGCTGCTTACTTTGAAAATTACACAAGACCAATAAATATATTGCGTTGGCAAAATTCAGAGCTGTTAATTATTAAAGCACGTTGTATTATAATTACCATCAGACTCTTGACAGTTCATAATTAATTAGGCCTGTTTAATGATACACAGCATACAACATAGAACGGTGTTATAATTATAAATTATGAAACATAAAATAGGTTAAAGTAATCGGGCTAGCCTATTTGAGGTGATATTCAGCATTTGTTTTGAGTAAACGGGAGTAGCCATGATCCAAATTGATGTTTAAAACGGGACGACTCGGATAATTTATCTACTATGATGATCGGTGGAAAGGATTTGGAAGGAAGCGTTCGTGAAGCGTTTTAAAGTATTGAGAAAGCAACGAGAAACGTCAGTGAGGATAGTCAAACACCTGACAAGGATTCGAAGTGCGGACTTCTAAAGTACAAATTTTAATGCTAATCATTCGACTCCGAAGTTTATCGAAAGTTGTACACAACAGTTCAGTCACTTCGTGTAGGTGGACAGCCCTGACCGCTGCCATCACACGACTTTCCCCATTTCTGGATAAAAGGAAGAAACAGTAAGACGACAAGAGGGTCTCCAATACCAAACGAAAAAGTCGTAACGCGAGCCTCTTTAAGGACTAACACGGCTAAACGACTAAGTATGACACACACACCCCCTCCGCGACACTGGTTATGATCAATCTACTTCACACGTCCTAAATGGAAGAAACTGCTTGTAGGTCGTGATGCGAGGGGGTATTATATTTGGTCAAGAAATCGTCGCAGGCTCTGTATCAAGAGTTGCAGTCTCGGAGTGAAGAAATAACACGATCGTCTCTATTAAGACGACTGAGTGATGGGCTAACCGAATAGACGTCGCGGACTTAAATTGTCATACGTGATACTTGAGGATCTACCGGGAGTGAAGATTTCGACGTTGATCTTGTGACGCCGTATGGACTCGTGGGCAGATTTCAAAATTTCGAAGGAACATAATGCCTCCATCTTCACGGATGAACTCAGAGCAGACATATGAAATAAGTCATTGACTTGTGACTGAGTAACTGAGAGGCCGATTAACGACTGAAATAAGTGTCAGTGTAGCTGGATGAGTGATTGGATAATTAAATACTGACAAAGAAAATAACTTGCTGGAAATCTAACTAATTAAATAACAAGCTAATTAATCACTGTATAAATACTTACGTTAATAACAGATTTGTTAAGAATAACTTACTTGTGAACTGAAAATATATTTCAAAATCTAATTAAATTTTAAAAACCGTTATCATTAAGGCAGCATCATGATTCTGTTCTTAGCCAGTTTATTCTAAAAATTATCGTGCTAGATTTTTATATTGTTTTCCGGCTACAAACGTTTCTAAATAAATAACATTAGTAATTTCGTACAAATATTCAACTATAATATAAACATTACAACACAAGATATAAGAAGCCTGCCATAAACTATGTATATCAAAAGAAATGAAGAATATGAAATAAATAACGCACATTTAAGTGTATAGTTATCTATTCAAAATCGTATGCAGACTGAGAACAATGCATTAATTTAATGAATCCACATGACGCTGAAATATAACTAATTACCTTACTTTCTAATTCATTTAGTTTCAGAGTTGAATCATGAGACGGTCGGAAGGACACAGATTTACACTTATGCGCGTGTGTTCTTGCACTTCGTGTATCGAGCTCTCTTCTGTTAATGGATTTAATTAGTTCTGAACATGATCTATTTAAATAGCACCCTGCTCATGATATGAATCACTGTTTACCCCGACAACTCACGGTTATTGGATCAGGTCCTTTATTTACAGCACTCTTCAAGGTGTTATGGTCAGAGGGTGTGAACCAACGAAATGAAGACAATCGCCTCCTTGGTCGGAGGGGGTGGAAGATGCATTGGGGGATTACATCCCTTCCTTCCTGCTTCACCCATTCCAGAATAGCGTGACGTAAAGAGTCGTAGCCACAAAATAGTGGGAAACCATTAGTGTCAAATAAAATGGTGAGGGAGAGTCTACCAGTATCGACCTACAGATGCTGAACACGTTTCTGCTAGCCCCAGAAACAATACACTAAACACTCAGGGTGAACACTAGTAGTTTCTCAGCTGGCCAAGACATTTCTCGCTTTTATGACCTCTGTGGGTTCATGAATATGTCTTTATCGTGAGCCAGTTTTTCTACGATCCATTTTATTTATCTCATCCATTCCCAGGTTTCTCAATTCGTCTCATTTCCTCGGGGGTTTTTTATTGATGAAATCGTGTAGGCTACATATTTCTCATCGTCTCTGTGCCTTCTACATGCATCGCCTAGATAATATTCCTCGATTTTATCACCTTAATATTTTTTTTCAAAAAACACCGCTTAAAACTATAATCTATGTAATTTTAAATGTTATTGAATAGAAGTTCGAAAATAATTTGGACCATAGACAAAAGACGGAAAATAAATTACGTAATTATGAGCTTCACAACTTGAGACACAGGGGACCTAAAACACATAGTGATGAGAAAAATACACAAAGTTTTGGAAAACATGACGGAAGCCACTTTGGAGACATAGGCATTGACGAGATGATAATAAAAATATAGAAATTGAAGAAAATGGATGTGGACTAGTTTTACCTGGCTCAGGTTTAGAAGGCAGAGGCTGGTTCTACTGAAAACGGTATTAAGCCTTCGGCTTAAATAGCAGGCGGAAAATTCCTGCACCAGCTGAGTAGTGAGTTAATTAAAATTAGGAAAACGGTGTGATACTGAAGTTCCTAAGTATGTAATTTTCTCCAGCGTCATATTTCCTGTTGCTGAATAAAACTCGGGAGACGTTTGTGA